CCGACCTCTGCTTGTTCCTGATCCTGCTCTCTCCTGTTTGACCCCTGGCTTGCCTGACTACTCTTCTGTCTGATCCCTGGTACTGTATTTGCCCGCATCCTGCTGAACCTGGCTTGTGACCTGACCATTCTTAGCTCGCTCCTCTGTACCTCGCTGCCCGCATAATACCGACCCGGCCTGTCTGACCACGCATACCGTATCCATCCATCCATCCGGTTTGGATCAGACCTGTGTATCTGTCTGCCTCTTCCAAAGTAGATTCCGTTCCTGCACTCCCCTGTCAGTATTCTCTACCACCGCAGGATGCACTCGGGGGTCGCGACCTGGTTTCAGTCTGCACCAAGTCCATCCCCACCATCAGGGGCCCTGGTGAACAGCAGGCTGGGACTTAGACCCCGCGCCCTGGGAGCGTCCGTGCGGTGGGCTGCTAGAGACTCTGCCAGGCGGCATAACAGTTTCCCTGCTGTCATACTCGTTTAGTGGATTCATTACTATTAGAGGATCAGCATGACAATCCAGTAGTTAGCATTTAGGAAATAGCAATGGTGGCTTCCATGTTGTTGTCATAACCTATGTTTCCTTTAATTTAACAATCATCATGTTTGAACAAAAACAGTCACCATTAGTGATGGGCCAAACACCCCCCTGTTTAGTTCACGGTCGAACATTTGAACCTAACAGAATTTCGACCTCAAACTTTGAACTAGGACAATTCACTAAATGGTATCTTACCGCATCTGATTGTATTAAGTCATGCGGTATTTTCATAGTTAATACATGCTTTAATGTTTCAGCTGTCAGCAAGGTGTTTGCCAAACACACGGACAGGCGGTGTTTTTCGAGCCAAACTTAATTTCGACTCAAATATCAAGCCCAACACTAGTCACCATCCCAAAATACTATACTATAATGCTGTAAATATATACATAGATATTTTTACATTGAAACTGCATGTGAATTATTTCTGTGCAAATGGTGCAATATCAGATTTTTTTCAGGCTATATTCTCTGCATATTAAATGCTATTTATTGGAAGGAGAAAAAACAGTGCAAATAGCCACTGCATGGTATTGAGTATCAAAGGAGTTGAATATGAATTTCAGTTATGGTATATTTTACCCAGTTACATTATTATTATTATTATACAGTATTTATAAAGCGCCAATTGTTCGCTCAGCGCTGTACATTACAAAGGGGGACAGAACATGTGCTCCAGCTTGGACCAATGTAATTATGTGTATACCATACCTGGACAATACCCCTGGTAGCTGGAAATCTCTGAGGCAAGAAACTTAACAAGTTCACATAACAGATTACGTCACCTCAGAATGAACTCGCGAGCTGTGCTAAGCATCTTCTGGTCCTGAAGAGTCATATAATATTGGTCACCAAACTGCAGCCGGCGAGCCAGATGTGGCCCTTTGTTTGACTTTCTCTGGCCCTTGGAACACTATTCCTCCCACCAATACACCAATAATGGAGCACTATTCTTTCCACTCACACCAGCGATGGAGCTCTATTACTTCCACTGACATCAACGATGGAGCACTATTTCTTCTATGGACACCAACAATGAGGCACCATTGCTTCCATTGTCAGCAGTGATGGGGCATTATTGCTTTCACGAACACCATAGATGGGGCACCATGTCTTTGACTGACACCAATGATAGAGCATCATTCCTTCAACTGACACTAATGATTGGGCACTGTTGTTTACACTAACACCATCAATGGGGCATGATAACATTTACTGAAACAAACTATGGGGCACTGTTCCCCCCACTGACACCAACAATGGGTCACTATTTCTTCCACAGACACCAACAATTGGGCACCATTCCTTCCACTGACACCAATGATGGGGCACTATTCCTCCAACTGAAACCTTCTATGGGGCACTATTCCTCTTTCTGACACATTGATGATTTACATAGTTAATCTGGTTGAAAAAAAAACACAAGTCCATCCAGTTCAACCAACAGAAATAAAATGGACACACACAAAGTAGAAATATCCATATACACTATCCTATGCTCATAGGTGATCCAGAGGAAGGCAAAAAAAATGAACCAATTTGCTCCAGCAGGGGAAAAACATTCCTTCCTAATCCCCAAAATGACAATCGGATGTTCTCTGGATAAACTTTACCTATAAATATTAGTATATAGTTATATTATGTGTATTTAGGAAAGAATCCAGGGCTTTTTTAAAACAATCTACTGAGCTGGCCAGGACCAGCTCGTGAGGGAGTCTATTCTACATTTTCACAGCTCTTACTGTGAAGAAGCCTTGCCATATTTGGAGATTAAATCTTTTTCCTCCAGATATAAAGAGTTCCCCCTTGTCCTCTGTGATGACCTTAAGGTGAATAACGCTACAAAGATTTCACTATATGGACCACGTGTATTTATACATGTTAATCATATCCCCCCTTGTCTCCTCTTCTCAAGAGAGAATAAATTCAGTTCCTCTAATCTTCCCTCATAGCTGAGCTTCTCCATGCCTCTTATCAGTTTGGTTGCCCTTCTTTGCACTTTCTCCAGTTCCCCCAATATCCTTTTTGTGAACTGGAGCTCAAAACTGAACTGCATATTCTAGATGAGGTATTAGTAACACCAAGATTGGGAAACTATTCTTCCCATTGATACCAACAATTGCCAATATTCCTCCCACATTATAAGTTATGGGGCATTATTCCTCCTTCTACAGACGATAGGTGCTATGTAATTTTTGTAATCCCACAGACAACCAAGCCTGAGGTATTATGCAGGGGCATTTTCTACACCCATTGGCCACAGGCAGGCTCCCCTAAATTCTGAAGGACAGTAAATTGGCCCTTTGTTTAGAAAGTTTGGAGACCTATGGCCTATAAATGAAGAATCAATGAATCACATGTTAGAGATGGGATGATCACAGATTTTATCATGCAGGTTCTGGGGCCTAGTGAACTTAAGAATGACAGAAGCTACACTGCCATAAAACATGTAATATGGGATTGTACTGTCATTTAAAAAAGTTGCCAGACCTTTTTATTTAGTACAACTTCAGCACTGTGCTATTTTATAGTAATTAAAAAGACCAACAACAAACTACTTGAAAGGCATTCTGACAATAGTTCCTGAACTGAATACATGTTATTTGTATCCTAACTACTCTCTGCATAAATTATTATGATTCAAATGATTTAAACAACTCAACAGAGGTTTTAAAACAGGCATGGGGAAACTGGATTTTGGGATGGTATGCAGTCTTCCTAGGATACTTCCTAGAACCTTGGTCATTTTAAAGGGTTGAATTGCACTAAACTGAAGACTCTGTGGCTCAAAAAACAAGTTTCCGTTGAATACGTCTGCTTAATAAGTGTGTTTCTGTAACCTTTATTACGATGTAGTTAGTATTGCTGCATTAATCAGTACAGAGTTTTAATATTTTCTGAAACAAGACAGATGCAGCCCCTTGCTAAATGATGCTACTCAATTAATTTGAGTTTGTGTGCTTTAGGGCATTTCTTCTCTCTTGTTATCAGTGAAAAAAAATGGATTACCTAGAATTGCCCCAGTCCTATAAATTGATCTGATTTCCAAGTAAGGAAAAAAATAATTGCTAATGATAATTAGGGTCTGAAGAATGCATGCATTTTATCATAGGCAAAATGTCAACAAGTATATTTAAAGCTGAAAGAGAAGGAAACCACCAAATAGCTGAAATGCATGTTTGTGATCTGTGTTATCTGACAAAGGAATTATAATTGTGTCCAGCTGCTTTTCCGATTTATACATCTCTACTACATAACACAGGGTGACAAATCCGTGTCTGTTAAAGTTAGGCACCTTTCACACATTCAGACTGTTCGTCTGTTGTTCATCCATCCGTTGATGGATGAAAAATGGACATCGATGCATTTCTAGGTAAAAAACGGAAGTAAACAGATGTTTATGTCCACTTAATCAATATTGTTTTTTTTTAAACAGATCAAAGCTCTATTTTTGGTCCATCAAAAAATGTAAAGGAAAAAAAACTTATGTAAACAGACAAAGGGTCCGTTTTTTTTTTTAATAATAATTTTTATTCATATTTTAACATTTCCAAATACAAACTTTTTCCATAACAATCAAGCAAACTTGATATGACATCATCCAGATTTGTGAACAGTGTAATAACCACGAATAACATGTTTAAAGACATAACACCAAATGAGAATTGGTCTTACAATAGTAACATATCATAGGACTAGTATACAGTGTTGCTTACCAAACTAATCATTCAATACATAGTCTCATTCTCCGGGTTTGGTAGAAGACATGTTGGGAATATCAAATTTCAGGACTGTGGCTCCCGCGTCCATCCAAAGTAATCATATGCGGTATATTACGTGAGAGCAATGACCAAGACAATCTCACATATGGGACAGTTGCCGTATAGGTCATTATATAGTATGCAGGCTGGGCCATAAGAGAGCGCCCAAGGGGAAAGAGGAAAGAAAGTACTGAGGACGATTTATAGGGGGGAGGTCAGTCCCTGACACACTTTAAAATGTTTTACCAGATAGGTGTAGTGAGTATCCCCTCAGAATGTGGGGGATCATTTCCAACAACAGGAGGAGAGTCAGGTATTCTAGGTTTGCCTAGGGTGTTTGCCAGATTGGACTTGGCATACCAAGCAGTAAACCGAAATGTGGTCATAAGGTGCCGAATTGCACTCAGTGAAAAAGTATGTTTGATAAATTCCCTCCAGCACGTGAAAAATCGTGGGACCAAAATTCTGTACCATTGCATCCAATTTCTCTAGGTACAGAAGTGATTTCAGGTCTTTCTTAACCACTAGCCTACCGGGCACTTATACCCCCTTCCTGCCCAGGCCAATTTCCAGCTTTCAGCTCTGTCGCACTTTGAATGACAATTGCGTGGTCATGCAACACTGTACCCATATGAAATTTTTATCATTTTTTTGTGACAGATAGAGCTTTCTTTTGGTGGTATTTAATCACCTCGGGGTTTTTTATTTTTTCTTAAACCAAAAACTACTGAAAATTAAAAAAAAAAAGTTTTTTCTTAGTTTTTGTTATAAAATTTTGTAAATAAGTGATTTTTCTCCTTCACTGATGTACGCTAATGAGGCTGCAGTGATGTGCACTGATAGGCTGCACTGATGGACACTGATAGGTGGCACTGATGAGGAGGCACTGGTAGGTGGCACTGATGGGCATTGACAGGCATCACTGATGGGCACTGAAAGGCAGCACTGATACATGGCACTGATATATGGCACTGATATATGGCACTGTTAGGTGGCACTGACTGGCACTGTTAGGCGGCACTGACTGGCACTGTTAGGCGGCACTGACTGGCACTGATAGGTGGCACTGATGCACACTGATAGGTGGCACTGACTGACACTGATAGGTTGCACTGATTGGCAGCACTGATAGGCATTGATAGGTGGCACTGACTATCACTGATGGATGACACTGAAAGGCAGCTCAGATGGGCACTGATATGTGGCATTGATGTGCACTGGTATGCACTATGTGGCATTGATGTGGCACTGATAGGCACTGGCACGTGGCACTGATCGACACTGACAGCTGGCACTGATGGACTTTGACAGGTGGCACTGCTGGGGCTACACTGATCATCAGTGCCCTGATGATCAGTGTACATGTCCCCTCCGCTGAAAGCCGATAACCGGCTCTCCTCTCCTCTTGAGCTGTCAGCGTGACAGCTCATGAGGAGAGAAATGGCGATAACCGCATTTCCCTGTTTACTTGTTATCAGCTGTAATTGGACACAGCTGATCAAATGACCGAGCCGACATCTTCGGCTCTTTCCGTGATTGGTGATCTGCTGTGTCCGAGGGACACAGCGCACCGCCGATCGCCACGCTGCCCGCTCCCTGAGCCACGCATGCGAGGTGAGAATGGGAGGACATCATATGAAGTCCTCTCAGAATGAGAGAGAACCACCTTGCGCCCGTCATTGGACTATATGGCAGTCGGGAGGTGGTTACCAGTCTCTAAAGTCGGACTTTGCAGGGAGATCCATGCTCTCAATAGAACTCCCCTGGCAGACACAAGTGTATCCACGGGGGCAGGGACCTCGGCTGTCCTGTACAAGGGGTGTTTGTGGTCATGGGTGTAGTAACACTAAATAAACAAATCAGCGGGTCATTAGGTAATATAGTGTTAGTAATTCCAAGTATATAGTGGATAATTTGGTTCCAATAAGCCTGAATAGGTTTGCATGACCAGAACTGATGAAAGAGGGTGGGTTTAGGGACCCCACACCAGGAACACACAGCTGAGGACGGGATTGTGGTATCCATCATAGCCAGTATGAAAGCCCTATGGATTAGTTTAAACTGGGTCTCTCTCCATTGCTCATTAATGCTGAGTTTACGGATCGTATTGTAACTTCCAAAATGTTAGAAGTGTCCTATAATTCCGGGATGTCTTTAGACCAGCCCTTAAATAGAAGTTCCTTCTCTGGGGATGAGCTTTGGTGCAAAAGCTGAGGATACAGTGAAGAGATAGGGTGCTGATTCTGTTTTATTGCGCTGTCAATCACTGGGTGTGCCAAGTCCATCCTGTCTCCCCTTAGCTGTGATTTAATGAAGTTTGCCAGTTGAAAATAATAAAAGATGTGATGTGGAGGTAAATTAAACTGTTGAGACGCCTCAGTGAATGAGCGAAGAGTGCCAGATCTAGGATTTAGTAAGGATGCAACATCCATTAACCCTTTGGAGGACCAATAAATAAAGGCTTCATTGGTCAGTCCTGGAGGGAACTGTGGGTTGCCCAGTATGGCAAGATGTTTAGAGATGGTGAAAGGAACAGCAATCAACTTAAAGATTTCCCGCTATGCTATCCAAACGGTCCATTTTTGCATAGGTTGTTAGGAGTTAGCACCCGTCGGTGTCCTAACAATTAAACAACCAGTGACTTCAATTACTTATCTTTGCTCTCAGTGGGATTCCCGCTAACAGCAGAAAGTAAAAGAAAAAAAGAAAAATAGACTGAATCAGGGGGGGGCTGTATCCAGTGCAGACAAGGTGGGGGGTGGGCAGAGAGAGGCAGGAGAGGAACAGTGTATACAATGATGGAGAAGTGTATTCAGACAGGCTCCCTCAGTTGCGCTGTCATTTCCGGTTTTAAATGTAATTGCCAGCTTTTTTTTCCTTTACTTTATAGCGCCAAAGAATCTGTCATTCAACCGTTACTGAACTAAACAAAGGGGTCACCATGGATGTCACTGGGTGACCCACCCTTTTGTTTACTTTAGCAGGGGCAAATGACAGCTCTTTCTCAGCACTGTAAAATAAAGGGAAAAAAAGCTGGCAATTACATTTAAAACTGGCAATGACAGTGTTCCTCTCCTCTCCTGCCCCCCTTTTTGCACACACTTCCCCCCACCCCCATAAAGAGAGCCTGTCACTTATATGCTATCATATAGGGGAATATTGTGACTACTGTGACAGCAATAAAATTATAAGTAAAAGAAGAATTAAAAGGCACATGAAAATTGAAAAATATAAAAAAGTGTGAGCCTCCCCACACCCACATACACAGGCATACATTTAAGAAATGCATTAAAAAATGCAATTTTTGGGGCACCTACGCAAAAAATGGCTATTGAGCTACACATGTTACATATTATCACGCACGCCAGAATGAGAGCAATAATTTCAGCACCAGAGCTCATGGGTAACACTAAACTGATGTCCTGTAGGGTATTTTTAGGAACACCTATGGAAAATATAGAGTATTGACATTTTTTCACTGTTTCACAGTTACGCGCAATTTTAATGCTCAACATGTTGGGTATCCATTTACTTGGTGCAACTTCATCTTTTATACTTTACAAAAAAATTGGGTAAATTGTTGTGTTTTTGTGCCCTAAAATTAACTTTCGTGTATTTTTTACTGAAACTTTGCATTTGATAAACCATTGCGCAAAGATCGTATGACATAAAAAAATTGGAACTACCACAAATTTATTCTCTAGGGTGTCTGCTTTCAGATATATAATTTTGGGGGGTTTAAAGTAATCTTTATGCATAAAAAAATGGCTCCAAGACTCAAGTGGTTAAGTGGATGTAAAACACTGAGGTAAAAAGTTATGAAAATCTGATGAAAAACTGATGTAAACTGATGAAAAAGTATCATTTTTTTCTTTGAAAAAACATGAGAGAACTGATGAAACAAGCAGTCCGCAAGTGTGGCAGGGGCCTTAAGGAATGCAGTGGTGTCACCTCCCCACCCCCAACTTACTGATTTGATAATGCAGGAGCAACAACACACTCTGGGTCCTTTCACACGGGAGGACCTGTTTAGTAGATCCGCTTGCTCAGCCTTTAAGGAAGGCACAGGCTTACCTGTCCTCAGTCTATCCATTAATTTACATGTGCTTCTACTATGGAGGTTCTCAAAATGTATAGGGTTAGGAACTGCATAATATTGGGGTGCCATGAAGAGGCTCTGCAGCTTATTCATGTATTTTCAAATGTGTGCAAACTAAACACTTGTTTTTAACATGAACCATTAGACAGGACAATTTGGTTGGTTGCAGGCTGATTGGTAAGTTGAGCAGGGAATTTTTCTCTGTTATTGTTTCCATGTGCTCCTTGCTGCAGAGGCCAGTTATAGATTGGGGCATTTGCCATTTGTTAGCCCAGGAACCCCTTGACCTGCCTCAATGAGCAATGTTAATTTTGTGGAAGGAAATATTTTTGTCATCGTTTTCATAAGCTGCATGTTTTCAGTGATGAAAACTACACAAAGATAAAATTCAGTTTCAATTCAGATGACCAAAACACAGTTAAAGCTAAAATGACATTTTAGTCACAAGACAATGACTAAAACTAAGAATATTTTACATCAAAATTAACAGCGGTCAAAAAGCAATATTCTTGTTTGTTTGCGAAACTTGGCTTTATTTATAAAGCTGTTACTTGACACTTGTTTTTATTATTACCAGAGAACTGTTAAGGTTTTTATACTTAAGTAATATGCTAATATAGTTTACAAGTTTTTTTATATATTTTTAAAGTTGCACTTTTGTTTTGCCAAAGAGCAATATCTGTGTTTGCTTATGATACTGGAGATTTAGGTCAACTAAACTACAACTAAAACAAAAACAATTCAGATGACTAAAATATGACTAAAACTAAAATGGCATTTTAATCAAAAGACTATGACTAAAACTAAATTGAAATTTGACGTCAAATTTAACAGTGTTGATGAGAATCCTGGGTGACACAATACTCTTTTCAGAATGTGGCACGGCACAGTACTATCACACAACCAGGGGCGGACTGACAACTCATGGGGCACACACATGCAAGCAGATTTGGAGGTACTGTTCTGGCAATAACAGAAGCTGATACCATGTCAGGTTCATGTTCTAATGCTAATTCTAAATAAAAAACAATTTAATTATTTTTTAGGAAATACAAAACTGCATTTAAACTGTGAACGGAGTTCAGCTTTGATGAAACAGGAGTAAAATGCAATGCCACTAACCCAGAGCAACCAGTCAGACTGAATCACTTGAGCTAAGTGAGGACAGTAAACTATAGTCTAATTGGCCTCTAAGGAATATTATACTATACACATCTCAAATGCTCTTTGCTTTGCCTTAAATAACCAAGAATTTTGGCTACATGTTACGCAATATAGTAAATAAGCAACATTTTGCATTCAGTTTTATCCTGTCGATACCAATGAGGGACCAAACCAGCATGCAAACTTTGTAAAGAATATTTCATTGTAGCTGAAAAATACATTTGAGAAGATACTGTAGATAAAGGCGCAATTCAGGAAACCATTGCTGGGAAATTTCCAAGATTAGTTTCTATGATACTGCCACCGACTTTCACCTAAAGGTTAAAGGTTCAAAGTAACCTGTAGATTAGACTGGCTATCATTGTGTTGCAGCTGTTCACTGTATCTGAATGAAAAAAAAAAAGATGCAAGCTCCACTCCAAGTCACAGTAAACTGGTTTTCATATCATTGCAATCAGTTAGAGGTACAGTTGCATCTCTGGGCAAATCCTGGATAAACTGCTTTAGAATATATGTCTCCATAGTAGAGACTGACTACAATCCAAAGAGATTTTTTTCTGCAATATATATTTTTTTAAAGTTTCTTTACACATTTTGCAGCAGTTTAATGTGTTTACATAACTTTAGAGGTGTTTGTATTAAAATAATAGACCAAATAATACATGTTAAAAACTATGCACAAGATGGCACGTCCCCACACTCTGTTAATGAGCACCCAGGGGTGGACTGACCATTTGGAAACTTGGGCACTGCCCGAGGGCCCGGGGTCAGTAGGGGGCCCCATGAGATGCCCATGGTACCTTTTTCATAGGCTTTTTTGAGTTTGGGCATAGACACAGGGGCCTTATGATCCCCTATTGCCCGGGGGCCCCAATGAGTTGTCAGTCCGCCCCTGTATGCACCACAATCATAAGTGTATCAAATGGCTTCAGCCTTGTCTCCACTCATGGAACAACCCCCCGCTAATGTTATTCACCCTATTAAGGGCTTAATCATAGCAGCACCTTTAAGATTAATCCCTTAACCTTCCTAGCAGTCTGATTATGTCAGTATTTCTGTGCTCAAAGCGGTACATTTTTTTGCATGGAAATATGTATTTTTTTTTATTGTAGGCCTGTAATTTTTAGGAATAACTCACTGAAATCTGTCCGAACAAGAGTCTAGTAAACATCCCGGGTAGGATAAAACTTGAAACACAAAATCATAATTTATAATTTAATAAATAATCATAAAAAAATAATATAATATTAAATGTAATTCAATAATATAATCAAACCAAAAACACTGAAATTTTAAATATAGCGCCAAGTTCGCACATCACTGAGCAAAGTCGCAAAATCGTTTTCAGTGTCTGATGACGAATTTCCCCACGAATCATTATCACTCAATTCTGCAAGTGGTTCTGATTTACTATTGCTGTTCTCTAGCTGGTCTAAAACCGCTTTTAACCTAAAGGGACGCTTTTCGGACAATGGCAATAAGAACAGTAAAAATGCAGGCAGGGCACAGGACAAAGCATTAGGCACAAAACATATGTGAAATGCTTTGATACAGTAATGTTTTACTATGTGATTTTAGTGAATGTCACTTTTTGTCATTTTCAAATTCCCCGCCGTTCCATCCCCTGTATGTCCTGACGCTCGCAGGGGACGGAACCCAGATGACAGATGCCGGCATCCGCCAGATTACATTGCCGGGGACACTGCAGGAGGGACATCGCGGGAGCGCAGAACAAGGTAAGTGATCGAGGGATCGCGGAGCAGCGCCACATGGTAAGCCCGAGTGTAGCTCAGGGTTACCGCTTGTGGTACTGAAACTTTACCTCGAGCTACACTCGGGAATACCGCCAGGGAGGTTAATAAGATGAAATGCATTAAAGGGGTGTTCTCCAATGAGTGGAGACCTGGTAGAAGCCATTTAATACACATAAGACCATGGTGCACATTAACAGAGTGCGGGATGCTCCATCTTGTTGTAGACATACTATCAGACTTGAAATGCCTTACTATCTGAACCCGAACCTAGCAGCAGCAATTGAACCAGAAACAAATTGAGGCATGTGAGTGATACTTCTTTTCTTCAGGGGTTTCTACAAAATATACTGTCACATTATTCCATCAATATTACTTTATCATACAGCGGCACCTTCTGCAATGTGGTGTTTTTCAATCTATGTAACAAGAGCAAGCAGGGGTGTTGCAGGGCATGGGACAAGACACAAAGAATAAATCTACACCACACTATAAAAGAACATAAAGAATATGATTATGCACACTGATGGGACATCATATATCACAACTAGACCACTGTGTGGAGAACAAATATCTTGGTTCTTAAAAGTGAACTGTAACCACTTGACCTACGTAAGATTTCATGACCAGGCAATTTTTTACTATACTGCACTGCATTACAATAACTGACAACTGCACGGTCATGCAACGCTGTACATAAATGAAATGTATATCTTTTTTTTTCCACAAATAGAGCTTTCTTTTGGTGGTATTTAGTCACCACTGGGTTTTTTATTTATTGTACTAGAAACAAAAAAGTCTGACAATTTTGAAAAAAAAAAAAACAATATTTGCTACTTTTTGGTATAAAACGTATCCCATAAAAATAAAAAAGAATCAAATGTCTTCATACATTTAGACCAATATGTATTCTGTTACATATTTCTGGTAAAAAAAAAAGATCCCAAAAAGTATATATTGATTGGTTTGTGCAAATTTATAGTGTCTACAAACTATGGTATATACTGGATACTGGAATTTTTATTCTTTTTTTTTTTTTACTAGTAATGATGCTGATCAGCCACCTATTGCAGGACTGCAATATTACGGTGAAAAATTTACCACTAATTGACACTGACACTTTGTGAGAACCAGTGATACTAATGCAGTGATCAGTGCTAAAAATATGTACTGTTACTGTACTATTGACACTGTCTGGAAAGTGGCAAAAATCAATGCGATCAAAGGGTTAACTGTGTGCCTAACCAGTGTTTTTGTGTTTACTTTCAGCTGCTTCTACTAAGGAATGAGCTGGATTTTTTGCAGGGAAACAAAATCCAGCTCATCCCCACTGACAGGACAGAGCTCTGCATTCTTTACATACAGTTTACAAAGCTCCTTCCACTATGTCTCCTTGCAGATCAGTGGGTGCTGGCGGTTATCCATTGGCCAGCACCCACTGATCAGCTTCTGCTGTAACTAATTACAGCAGAAGCTGCGTGCTGGTGGTGCGTGTGTGCGTCCCCTTCCCTGAAGTACAGAATCACATATATATGTATACGTGATTCTGCACAAAGCAGCTGCTCTGTAGCAGTAAAGCTGCTATAGGGCGGTCAGCAAATGGTTAATTCTACTCAGGAAACAAAAGAAAAACCTTTAAAATATGAACAATTTTATTTAACACAATAGATAACTGACTAAATATGGGGCTCATTTTTCTAAATCACTATCAAATAGTTTTATGGCCATTCTCATCTCTGTGACAATTCTACTCTCACCCCATTCCTCCTTTTTTTAACTCTTAGTCCTCATGCACACTGGACGTTTTTACAGCTGCTGTTTTTGGCTTTTAGCATTTTTTTCTACAGCCAATAAACTCCCCAGCATGTTATCCTATGTGTCCATGCACACATAGACTATAATCGGCGTTTTTTGGCTGGAAAAAAAAAAACAGAACTAGTGGGTTTCTAGAGGAGTTCTTTAGCTCTAAAAACGCTCTAACGCTGAAAAACATGGCAAACCAGCATTTTGGAATTTTTTTGACAAAAAAAAATGCTAAAAACCACAAAAGTAAAGAATGCGGAAAAAAGCCGCTAAATGCTAATGCAAAAACGCTAAAAATTGCTGAAAAACTCACATTTTTAACGTGACTTTATTCAGCTAGTGTTACTAGCATTATTAAAACACCCAGTGTGCATGAAGCCTTACATATTAGTATCTTAATTGAATGTCTGCCTTAATATTTTCTAACAAGCAGAACTCAGCTGTGTTGTTGTGCTTCCTTCCGTAATTTTTCTCTAATGTAAAAATAAAATTTAAAACATAGTAAGTTATACTTACTGCCTATTTTCTACCCTAATGCATGGATGAATGCACATTGAAATTTGATTTCAAGATTAATTAACTGTAAACTAATTAAAAACAAAATAAATATGTCAGCCCTGGTGACCAGGCCATTGACATGTTTTTCTGAAGCAGTGTTTTCATTTTGTGCTAAATGTAAATTCCACAATATGTTTTGCTTTTGTATTGTACAGAAATGGCGTTCTTTTGATGTATAACTGTGAAGTATATTGCTATATTTTGTATTATTTTTATTATTATTATTATTAGTAGTAGTAGCAGTAGTAGTAGTACTACTAAGAACCACTACATTTTATAATAATCTTTTTCACAGTAGCTACCATACAAGTAGCTGCACAGAAATACATAAATATATATATTAAACATGTATAAATACATAACATATGAAGAAATAAAGATTTTTCCCAAAATATTCTATCACATACGTATATTTTTAAAGCAAAACTCTAATATGCAGCATCCTAGATATTGTCCTCCATTGCTTGTTATGACGTTTAGCTCAGTTTTGTAATAAAATTAATAGAAGAACCTCTGTTCTTTTGTCAGAATGTCATATGTCACATGCTGCTTAGCACTGAGAGTTTTTAAGCACCACTATTCTATTCAAAAAAAGTAAGGAACAGAAGACTAAAGTTCCCATGATGCTTTGACAAGTTTTAGGAAGAGACTAGAGTTCAATATGTCCCATCATAGACAACAAAAATGTCAATTATTGTTTCATAATATGTCCTGTCAATGCTTGTTTTATAAAGAAGTGAAAGAAGGAAGAAAGAGTTTTTTATGAACTCATGGTAGCCTAATATATTGTGAAGAAAGCATTTTATGGGTAAAAAATATACATATTATTCCTGATATAACAGCTTATTATAATTTCCTTTTCCCTTTTTCTTGCTTGCTTGGAGTTCAGCTTTAAATCTTTTTTCCATCATAGCAATCTTACCCTACCCACTATCGGCTGTTTTGGTAAAACTTCCACTAAGGGGATCCATTATTCTGACAAGTTGTTTACAAACAGTTTCCTTGTTACACTGATGTGAGTACACACTGTCATTAGACAGTGGAGAGCATAGGCAAATGGCTGTGTGCCTTGTGATCACTGTAATGGCCAATCACAATGATCACAAATGTAAACAATAGTACTGCCTACATTGGAGAGCCCATGCCTTCCTCACAGTGCCTGTGATCATCCTGTGATTGGACTGTATAGGTCACAGGCAGGCAAAAGGTACAAAGCTAATTAGAGTGGCTCTGTACTATGATTACCAGACAGCTCTGCCTTTTCTCCCACAAACACTTAGACAGCCTTTGTGAGAGTGAGGTTCTGATCACAGCCAGTATTTATTGTTGCTGATCAAGTTGTATAAATCAAATCACAGCCAGTAGCAGTGCCTGATTGCAGTCAGTACCATTGCCTAATTAAAGCCAGTACTATTGCCTGATTACAGCTGGTACCATTGCTTGATTAAAGTCAGTACCAGCTTACAGCCTATACCAAAACCTGATTAAACCCAGCACCAATGCCTGTTTAAAGCTAGTACAAATGCCTAGTTACACCTAGATTTAGTGCCTCTGTACAGCCAGTACCAGTGCCTAATTACAGCCAGTGCCTGTAAACAGCCACTACTATTACCTGATCACAGCCAGTATGGTACCCAGTTATAGCCAGTAGCAGTGCCTGACTACAGTGAGC